GGGGCACTTAAAGGGTTATATAACAGACAGGGGCACTGATGCTTTAAGCAATATTCCAGCAATATCACGGTGGGGGACACCAGAAATGGGCTACACACATTGTACCCATGTCGGGAATTGAACCCGGGTCTTCGGCGGGACAAGTGAACGCTTTAACCACTAGGCTACCTGACTGCCCCTAAAGGGTTATATAACAGACAGAGGCACTAAAAAAGGGTATATAATAGACAGGGGCACTGAAAGGGGTATATAACAGACAGGGGCACTGAAAGGGGTATATAACAGACAGGGGCAGTGAAAGGGGTATATAACAGGCAGGGGCACTGAAAGGAGGATATAGCAGACAGTGTCACTGAAAGGGGTATATAACAGACAGGGCACTAAAAGGGGTATATAACAGACAGTGGCACTAAAAGGGGTATATAACAGACAGGGGGCACCTAAACTGGTATATAACAGACAGGGGCACTAAAAGGGGTTTATAACAGACAGGGGCACTAAAAGGGGTATATAATAGACAGGTGTCACTAAAAGGGTTATATAACAGACAGTGGCACTAAAAGGGGTATATAACAGACAGGGGGCACTAAAAGGGGTATATAGCAGACATGGGGCACTTAAACTGGTATATAACAGACATTGGCACTGAAAGCATTATATAATAGACAGGAGCACTAAAAGTGGTTTATTGTAATAGACAGGGGCGCTATAAGTGGTACATAACAGACAGGGGGCACTGGAAGGGGTTATTGAAACAAAAGGAGGATATGATAGACACACGTAAAGTGATGTAAGAGACATGGGCACTGAAGCCGCATATACAAGACAAGGGCATGATGTTCAGATGGATAACAGTCTTGACCAATAGCAGAGTTAATGTGATGGTATCCACGCATGCAACATGCTCGTTAGATGCTAGTTACAGTGCTCATACATTGGAAGTGACATGTTGGCAGACATCCGGACGGCAATCAACATGCACAAGATGTCATTGCCTCAAAACACGTTAGCTTCCATTATTCCTTAAACTAGCCACTTCCACAGCGCACGACAGAGATCTTCATCATACACCAATCCAGGAGTGCTGCCTCACATGAGGAATGAGATTACTTCAAGACGTCTTTCCTGGCTGCAGGAAGCGATCCATCTTGACTCTATGCACCCAATGGTGTACAACAGAGCCATACGACTTCCGTACTGCCTTAAAACACAAACAAATATGGGATGAAGGGTTTTTACTACTTCATGAGATACCACTGCAAATGGTATCCAATGACACCCAGTCTACAGAGACAAGGGTATTGTTACTGTTCCAATGAAACCACTTGCCTATGATCATTGTCTTATTAGGAAGCTTCGGCAAGCCCAGCTAGTATTAAGACATTAGGCCAAAAATTGGTTGGCATTGTCGCTGATGGATTTCTTACATTGGCCCAAGGTGTTTACAGCGAAGCGAAACATTTGGAAATGTTATCAAAACTTTCTTGGGCAACAGTTTCTTTGCCAGTGTTGTACCAATGTTTTTAGACAACATTGGGCCAGTGGTCAAAACGACATTGGGCTGGTTGTCAAAACAACGTTGGGCTGGTTGTCAAAACAACATTGGGCTGATGGTCAAAACAATGTTGGCCCAATGGTCAAAATAGCATTGGGCCGATGGTCAAAACAACATTGTCCCAATAGTAAAAAAACATTGGACCGATGGTCAAAACAATGTTGGGCTGGTTGTCAAAACAACATTGGAACAATGGTCAAAACAACATTGGGCTGATGGTCAAAACAATGTTGGCCCAATGGTCAAAATAGCATTGGGCCGATGGTCAAAACAACATTGGCTCAATAGTAAAAAAACATTGGACCGATGGTCAAAACATTTGCCCAATGGTCAAAACAATGTTGGGCCAATGGTCAAAACAACATTGACCCAATTGTCAAAACAACATTGGGCCAATGATCATAACAACGTTGGGCCAATTGTCAAAACAATGCTGGGCCAATGGTCAAAACATTGCTGGGCCAATGGTCAAAACAATGCTGGGCCATTCTTTCTTTGCCTAGTTTGGACCGACGATCAAAACAAGATTGATAGACCATGTTGGCCCAACATAAGTGCTAACATTTGCCTAATGTCTGAATGCTAGCTGGGAGGTTATCATTCCGGACTCCCCTTAAAATGTCAGCCATGTCTCTGTGATTCCCCTCATCAGTGAGGCATCAGTCTCAACAGAACAGAATAGTGTATTTCCCATGACAATTGTCCAAGTGGACGATGACATTTCCAGGGGAAGTACTATATTCAATGTCATCTGATTTCAGTGTCTTCAAGTGATGCAAGTACGGAGCTCTCACTCGACATTTCCATGGTGACGAAGAACTGTAATGTGTGAGTGTATTAGTTCGAAGTTATGTTAAGTGTAGGAGTGAAAGTGCTGAATTTGACACCAAATGTGTCAAAGATTGCTGGTAACTGAAACCTGTCAAGTCTTTGATGGTCATTAAGATGTTGAAAGAACAAGAGGACATAACTAGGTTCATGGATAACAACTGCTTCATGCTCTGGCATTACAAAGAGTAAAGAAGAAACATAATAGTGTCCTCATGTAGCCTGTCAGTGTCACCAGTTTGCATGTCTCAGGTAACAACAAATATGTATAGGTCACACCACGAGTACCCAGTGTCTAATCGTTGAAATGGTTAATTAAACCATGAGTCACGTAGCGCTGAGTGGTTTTGTCAACGATTAGACACTCACCGGGGTCCGAGTGGTCAAACAGACCATGTCCAACATTTATAGCACCTAAATTGTTTAAAAGACATTGTTTTGTTAAAGGTATTTTAAAAGATATTCAGAAACTGCTATGCTCAACTGTGAGAGTTGGCCCTGCATGAAGCATGTGAAATCTGTCCCAAGCCTATCGCACGTGCACCTTGCACTTTGCCGATTTGGGTTATGAAATGTATGTCCGGGGGCAAGTGTACCATTCATTTTGGACCAACTCCAGCACATTTATCAATCACCTAAATATTGCTTGCCCATGTTGATGGGCCTTTTATGATCAAATATAACCCTGATCAAGATAATAGTAATTTCTTTTCTATCTGTTCGTTTCTTGAACGAAAAACTACCAAATCACAAGTACTGTACAAATACCAGTATGCATAGAGTAACATACTGTATAAAAATCGCATAAAACATATTTCGCAGTTCATAAAGGGGTAAGCAATTAGTTCTGATGTAAGTAAATATTAAGTTGTTAATTTCATACCATTTCTCCCATGTCGCTGTGGCAGAAGACTACATTCGTCAGCCTTCAGTGCGGACTTAGCGGGTTCAAAACCCAAACGTTTTTCATGAAATTGTTCTATCATCAAGATAAATGATAGGGAAAATAGAAGTTCCATCATTGCCAAGTGGTGTTGAACTAACAATTCAGTTAGTCAGACCACGGTCAAAGACAAATGAGCCATGGTTTAAGATGTATTATTATGTAGTAAAGCAGCCATTTCCAATCTGAGTCATGTTACTGTGATTTTATACCTCCTATTGAACAGGTGAATCAATATTGTTCTGGTCAAGTCAGACAGCTGGCACATTGTGCACAGGTCCATCAATTGTCTGAATCGATCCTGAATCCATTGGTTGTGGGTGGAATCCAAGATTCCCCTCTTTGTTATTTTAGGTATGTCAGCACTAACCCTGCTCCTGGGTTTTGCCAATGTGTTACAAGTCTAGGATCTGTATCACTAGGAATTTCCTCCTACATTGAGCTGAGTCACTCACTCACTCACTCACTCACCCACCCACCCACCCACCCACCCACCCACCCACCCACTCACTCACTCACTCACTCACTCACTCACTCACTCACTCACTCACTCACTCTCACTCACTCACTCACTCACTCACTCACTCACTCTCACTCACTCACTCACTTACTCACACACCAACCCACCCGCCCACCCACCCAACAACTCACCCACCCACCCACTTAGTGACCACACTGAGCTGAGTCACTCACTCACTCACTCACTCACTCACTTAGTGACCAAGTAATGCTATCAAAGGTCATGGCAGACTGCTAGATCTGAAAGGCTGTGGAATCACTCCCAGTTTGACAGGTACAGTGTCTGCTGCCTGTAATGACAAGGCCTACCACAAACATCCACCTCCTCCTCTCCTGATGCCACATCACATGTCAAGTTATAGTGCTGATAATCAAGGTAGGTCGCTGTGTGCCCAACATACAGGCAGGGAGACAAAACATTCCTGTAATCCCCTGCTAGTACAGGGCACAGTGGTCGACTGCTGCAGACTGATTTGTTAAGCACTGTCTGTGAGGTGGCTTAAGGCTGGAGTCGGGATGTCAGAAGGGCTTCGGAGGGATGCCTTGAAAAAGGGAAACTGGGGTGAGTGGGTGAGTGAGTGAGTGAGTGAGTGAGTGAGTGAGTGAGTGAGTGAGTCGGTGGGTGGGTGAGTGAGTGAGTGAGTGAGTGAGTGAGTGGGTGAGTGAGTGAGTGAGTGAGTGAGTGAGTGAGTGAGTGAGTGAGTGAGTGAGTGAGTGGGTGAGTGAGTGAGTGAGTGAGTGAGTGAGTGAGTGAGTGAGCGAGCGAGCGAGCGGGTACTTTCTGAATCCTACCTCTCAAGCAAGAGTGACTGACCTTGACAGTGACCTTCACTTATGATAGAACCATGTTACAGGGAAGGTAGAGAAAAATGTGTTCATCCTTCATTTTTGCAAATCATTTCCCTCATGAAGGAGAACAATTATTCCTAAGGATTGTGCAGTGTTTTATCTTGAGTGTGACTTTACAAAAACTATTCACAAACATAACACAAACTCTCCAAGGCCTAATTGACCTTCAACTTCAACCAATCTTTAATGCAGCAGTGATGGGTAAATTGGGACACACGAGTTAAGCAGTCACTCTTAAAGAGGATGGCTGCTTCAATATCTGATGTTTAGGATGACGCAAGGACAAATCACACAAAAACTACTGACCTTTGACCTGTGAACATCGCCATCATCCGTTTCCCCAACGCCGAGAAGTTTGCGGGTTTTTAATCGACTGTGGAGGTCCCCACTACTGTGTTTCCTGAAACATGGAGAAAACATGGTGAACAAGTGTCAGAGTGAGTAGGGTTTTACGTCATTTAACTATAGTCTGGCCGTACCACTGGAACATTAAGAAGGGGCTTCTTGCATCGTACCCTCGTGACATGGAAAATCAAACCTAGGTCTTTGGCATGAGGAGCTGATGCACTAACCACTAGATGACACCATTAACATCAACAACATCATCATCATAATCATCAAGAAACATCTGATCTTCATTTTCATCATCATCATCAAGAAACATCTGATCTTTATCACAGTAAAATGATCACTTGAGTGATATACCAACGATCATGGGTATTGTCTTGGCAAATCTAGAAACATATACAGGCGAACACAGATTCAAACCCACGATCATAGGCCCAACGGACGAAGCTCTGCACAGTGAACTGCGGCACCTTAGATGACTGGGCCACCCGTGCCCTTCAAGAACGTGATGCTATTACCATACATGTACCAGCCCACACTGCTGTTTAATAAAACTACTCATGCCTTGATGTGGACTTTAACTTATATTAGCTCACCTTGCTATTGACCATATCATAATAATACATCTTCATGATAAGTAAGTATCAGAGTCTGGCTCTCATAAGTGGGTCATGGCACTGTTGGCTGCAACTGCACAGCAGTGTTCCCTGAGACAAATGGCGCAAGAATCTCAACACACAAATTGGTACTTAATTAGACCAACATCTCCTCTCTAATGGACATAGGGATCTCAACACACAAATTGGTACTTCATTAGACAGTAAAGGGATCAGACAATCATTAACTGTCCATATCCACTGGTCATTAAGTCTCATGGTAAATGGAGGTCACTCCAAGGTTGTGTTGGACCACTGCACAGACCGACCCGTGACGATTCCGGGATAGAACAGGTCTTCAGCAACCCATACTTGCCGTAAAAGGGGACTATGCTTGTTGTAAGAGGCGACTAATGGGATCGGGTGGTCAGGCTCGCTGACTTGGTTGATACATGTCATCAATCCCAAATGCGTGGATCGATGCTCATGCTGTCAATCACTGGATTATCTGGTCCAGACTCAATTACTTACAGACCGCCGTCATATAACTGGAATATTGCTGAGTGTGGCGTTAAACGACTAACAAACAAACTGCACAGACCTGTGATTTCTGGGACCATGCACACAGAAGCAGATCCATGTTTGTGACCAAGGTTGTGTGGACACTACCCACGTGAGGAAGTCAACAGCAGTCAGAGGGACTTACAAAGACTAACAACTAGTCTCTGAAATGAACATATATTAAAGAAAAGAAATAGTTGTAAAATTATAGTTATAGAATATTTTTAAAGAAGCCCAGAGACTTTCTTCATATTAATTTAATACTGCAGTAATCTAGACTTGCCAAACAAACAGTTGTTAAATTATAATTATAGAATATATTCAAAAGAAGCCCGGAGACTTTCTTCATTTTTATTTATTACTGTAGTAATCTAGACTTGCCAAACATTATAGGTGAGGTGAGGTGAAATAGGGTTTAACGTCGCATCCAAGATTATTGCACTTATATAGCGACGTGTATGTGTGTGTGTGTGGCTGCTTGTACTAGTCCGGACTGATGCCAATTTATAGTGCTAGCACACTGAGATACCATGCCGTAGTTTAACATGAATACCCCACTCAGACACAGTATACTGACTCTGAGCCGACCAGTCCATGTTTTAGCCCCTTAATGCCGAGCGTCAGACAGGGTAACAACAAGTACCATCTTTTAAGGTCTTTTGGTATGAACCCCGGACCTTCCGCTCTCTGGGCGGACGCTCTACCATTAGACCACGGAGGCAGTCACCAAACATTATAGACTTACATGGGCTGTATTGGACATATTTGTTTGAGGGTCTGTATGACAGGCGAGGACTGACACAGTGGACATGTGAGGTGTCTGCAAACACAAACACACACCCCTGTTGACCAGGGACTACTACTCTCGTGACAGAGAACCTGGCAGTCACAGGAGCTCCAGGAACATCACAGGGACAACCTATAGCTGTACAGCCGACAATTACCAACTGTCAGAGCTGATAAGGTTAAACTTACGGATGTACTCGAAGGAAAATTACTACCGCTCCACTTTGATCTGTTTAAGGATTCCTTTTGTAATTACTTGCCTTACAGATATTTTCCAAAACAATTTGTTAGGAGGTCAAAATACAATGAAAAATTTTTATAAATAAAAGTGCCAAACCCTTTTAGCACTCATACGAAATATCTGCTAAAAGCAAATTCGACTATAAGATTCCGATTATTTCATGAGCATGTGTTTATGAATCACTATACTAAACATGTTTCCTTGTGAATTGAAGAAAAAAAGTTGGTCAGGTGAAATTAGACAACCCTATAAATGTAAAGGATCTATCACCACGGTAAATAATGATCCCCTGCTGCTATGTGTTACTGGCATGCCTCCTGTCTCCGCTTCTGGCGGTCTGGTATTTAGTATTTAAAATTTGGATCTTGTGACCTCAATACCTTCCACAGTGAATCAAATCAGCTGGATATTTCTCTATGAAGTGATGCCTAATTAAATGAACATTCTATAAGAAAACTGTGGTTATTGTATGTGCAGTTTGTATGTTTATTTAATAAGGATTATATAGTGACCGTAATCATAACACTATATTCAACTGATCTGAAAACAGATGTGGCAAATAATTTCTGAAGGGTATTCTTCATACTTCAAACAAAATCAGATTCTTCCCTGAAATGTTCTGCAAGGCTGCCATTTTGAAATTTTCACAACAATATTGTGACTTAGTAAGACGAGTTCTATGGATGAACAACTTCTTTATTACAATTGGTGCGACATTTCAGTGTAGATCCTAACACCTTTATCAAGCAAGTTAGGATCTACACCGAAACGTCGCACCAATTGTAATAAAGAAGTTGTTCATCCATAGAACTCGTCTTACTTTATCACTCCAACTTCTAAATGCCACTCAAAGAAGTAATATTGTGACTTCTTGTAGTCAGGCGGATGCTGGTCAGAGGAACAAAGTTAAGGTGAGCTAAAATGACCTTGTATGACATCATGCATGACATTGAATGACATCATGCATGACCTTGCGTGACATCATGCATTTAGTATTCCTAGGTTCCCAGACTGGATTCGAACCACAGACCTTCTGGTGGCCATATCGTCTAAGGCGCTGCGATTCGCTGTGCAGAGTTGCGTCCCTTAAGCACACCAGAAACCTATGATTGTGGGTTCGAATCCTGGTTCGCCCTATTATGTTTTTAGGTTTGTCAGCATCATACCCGTGCTCGTGGGTTTCACCGAAGTGGTAAACATCTGAGACCTGCATCACTTCGGGCTTTCCTCCCACATTAAGCAGACATGCTTAACTGGAATACTGCTAAAAGCGGCACTAAACCCAACTCACTCTGATCCGAGGTCGGACGACTTCTCGACATGACCAAAGATGACATGAGTGTAATGACGCCATACACCGCTACACTGACATAAGTGGGCAGCAACATCACACAGTTATACCAAAGAGATTCACAAGCTACAGAAACATGTTAAATCTAAAGCTAGATTTGTGGAATGTCTAAGCAATAATCCATTACCCAGTGACAGTAGCCAGAGCACTACCTTCCCTTCCATTGGAAAACAGATCCAACTATTTGACATAAATATCCGAGTCCTGGTTTGGAATTTGAACAACAGGCTGCTGCTGTGTGATCAAATTCTATCCAGAGCATTTCATCGGCTAATGAGGCTAATACTTGATTTGGTTAAAAACAGCTCACCAGACATCACTGCGATACTGAGACACCATATCTTACTACGTCTTTTCGTTGCAGGAATGAAATGTAATCCCGTGTGGTGGAACAAGATGAATGGGACAGAACTGGAAGGGGAGCGATGACCAGACAATGAGTAGTGTACCATACCAGAGATTCTCCAATCGGCAGATTAGCTAAACTTGACCAGTCCTTGCACCTTGATTGGAGCAAGCAGGAATCGGCAGACACTTGTTAAAAGATAAGACTCAGTGGCTCTGCTTGGGTTTAAGTTAAGCTGGTACCAAGGGATAACTATGACAATGTAACAGTTGGACCTGTCTACAACTTGTTCACATCATGAATCTGGCTCGTCAATTAGTTAATGACAATACTTGTTGTACATCCAAACAGAGGTATTAGTTGATGAAATGGTACCTTCATAATAAATAATAATAATGCCTGACTTCAATATATCACATGATGCCAGACTTCAATTTATCTCATGATGCCTGACTTCAATATATCACTTGATGCCAGACTTCAATATATCACATGATGCCTGACTTCAATATATCACATGGTGCCTGACTTCAATATATCACATGATGCCTGACTTCAATATATCACATGATGCCTGACTTCAATATATCACATGATGCCTGACTTCAATATATCACATGTTGCCTGACTTCAATATATCACATGATGCCTGACTTCAATATATCACATGATGCTTGACTTCAATATATCACATGATGCCTGACTTCAATATATCACACGATGCCTGACTTCAATATATCACATGATGCTTGACTTCAATATATCACATGATGCCTGACTTCAATATATCACACAATGCCTGACTGCAATACATCATACGATGCCATACTTCAATATATCACATGATGCCATACTTCAACATATCACACGGTGCCTGACCGCAAATGTCGAACAATATGTTGCCTGTAATGCTATGTAGTCATGTCTTAAGGCGTAATTAACAACTGATATATCCATCCGCTAGGTTGTGGTACAAGCACACACAAGCCCAGCCAGCTGAGTTGACCATAATCTAAAGACAGAGAGTGTAGCATTTCTGGACACATGTCTCCACTACAACATGTGTTATATTCTGTTTTCAACATTCTGACGACCACATCAGCAGGAATTAGTATGTGGTGTATTCTAGTCTAGACTCCTTGTGTCAGGTTGCTAGTGGTTGATAGATTGT